TAAATTAATGGTCCATCAACTGACCTCTAGATCGACCCACACGAGTCTTCGACTTTCCATCGTCATAGAAGTAGCTATTTTTCGCGAAAGCAGCTTGATTAAGTGACAGGATCTCCCTAAAACACTCCGGAATACGGTGCGTGAAGTAATCAGCGGGAAATTCATGGCGAAATGTCAATCTCCGCCAGGCGTCACTTGCAACGTGCTGCTACCCTGCAACTCAGGCTAGTTCTAGTTCCCACGGCCGAGACCAAACATCACCAGGCTGCCAAGCTGTAAAAGAATGTGTGGAATGTTTTCACAAGTGCCAAATCCTAAACCACAGGGCAAGACACAATATACAAGCGGATAATTCATTGTTTTCCACATTTCTGGCGTCCTATAGATGCCGACTACTTATCCTTTGTAACATTGTTTAAATGTCACTTGAAGAAGTTTCCCAGAGACCGAGTTCTGCGTCGTCGAAAGAGCACTTTTGTTCGAGCGAGAGAGAGGCTTCCTCTAGACTTACAGCACGCCTAGAACGCTCGGTCTATAGGCGATCGCGTGGAAAACATCGAGTAAACTATCATGATTCCTCTGGTTCAAGCCGCAGACGGGAACGGCATCAGGATTACGGCCAGAGCAATAATATGGAGAACGGAAATCAAAGAGGTCAGCGTGAGAACGAGTAAGTTTATTCTCTTTCTTTTGTTTTAGACAGATCGACTTGTTACCCCATAATGTGAGTTGTTATCAACAGATAAGCACACTAATTGATTAGCCCTAAGGATGTATTTTTCCCTGCCTGGGGTTTCACTTTCAATCAATGAAACTTTATTCCCCACAGAATTCACGTGATCGATCGCAAGTATATATCAAAGTCTTGTTTTATTTCGATGATGATTTATTTAGCCATTAAAGCTGAAAGTCGATCGAGCGTTTGTACAGATTTAAGCATCTTACACAGTTTGTTTGACAATGTTTATTTTCAAAACAATCGGTAATTTTTTTTTCGCCGTTATGTAACAACTTATCGATGGCCTTTGGCTGGGGTTTATGATGTTTATCAGAAATAAGTATTTAATCTGAACGAAATTCATCATCGATCGGGTCACGCTAACACTAAGGGTTCATTCTTGTGGCTATTAGTCACTTCCTGCTCTAAACAATCAACAATGCTTTATTGATGGCTGAGTTTTAACGCAGTAGGCGCACAGACAAGTCTGAACATATTAATTAATTAGCCTTTTCAATTATTGTAGTCTTTAGAAAGTGGTGGTCTATATTTTCACGAGGCCAAAAATATCCAAAATTGCTATTTTAAGATAAGTGGTTAAATTTATCACAAATGCACTTTTTGATCTTAAATTTTTTTTGTCTTTTTTTTTAATTGTCAGGATATTTTTTTGTTAGGTTGGCATAACATTATTTTTGTTAAAATGCATATACATTGGAGTATAGGGTCAAAGTATTCACAAAGAAAATCATTCCTGGCATATATCTGAACTGAATCAATCTTGATTGAAATAATTAGACCTTGAGATTTTTGTCTCAAATGTGAGATTTTTGTACACTTGTGAGGAAAAACATGTACCATGTTTGCTTGAGGTTAATTGGGAATCAACTTAGACTTCCCATATTACAGTGTGTGAAATTAAGTCAGTAATGAATATGTTGATGTGTATTCCTGCCCAATCTGTTGTCACACAAAATTGATACAAGTCAATTTTCAAGTTAATTTCGGTCTGATACATATTAACTTAGTTGCACAAACCAAAATTTTGACACTAAGGCCAGTGCCTTACTGTGGAGTGTATAAACCTGTTCATTGCTGTTCACCTTGCTTTTCAAGGGTGCTGCATTAAAATGTTAAACCCAGTATCAAACTAATGAGAATAGGAAATGATATTGGTATGAAGGGCAATCAAGTCTGAACAAGCCTATTGTCATCTGCCCATAAAGCATGACCCCTGTTCAGAAATAAATGCATTCCACACATGTTGTCGCAAGCATGGGGGATTCTGAGCAGGAAAATTCAGAACAGATTTCAAATTATGTACAAAATGTAAGTATTCTTGTACAGCATTTGACAATTCACTCGACAATAGAGATTGAATGAAATTGTGCTGGACATTGTTGTGTAATTTTTACAGAAATATCTTTTCTGTGGGGTTCAACAAACAGCACAAAGTCCAATCTGATGAAGTAGTTCTTGAATTATCCATGTGCCTTTTATTTGCCAAACTAACATCTTGTCAGTGGAAAATTGCTTATTCTGAATGTAAGGATGTTGAACTTTCTTCTATTAATCTAACAATTGAAAATTAGAAAAACACACCATGTCAGTAATGAATGTGACTTGAGTGGTAAGCAAACTGTTAAGATGTTAGGTAGCTTGTGCACTTAGAATTCTAAATACTGCTGGCTGTGGTCAAAATTACTTCATCTATTTTAAATGTTATTTAAATGGTAAATGTATTGGAGCTTAGAGCTGTACAATTTGGGTAAGAAACACTTTAATTTATTGCTGTTTGTGTCCTGGTAAGTTAAATTATCCTGTACTTGCACAAAAGCTTATTGTTTTCTTGTTAGGTCAGCAGTTTGTATGTTTGTTGCATGGGCCTACACTCCCAGACCTGACAATGTCCACTCCTCAGGGCTCGACACTAACTTTTCAACTTACTAGCCAAGTGGCTAGTGACATCTTAGATTTTAGGACAATTTCAGTTTATTTACTAGCCAAACTGGCTAGTGGAAATCAAAAACCATTAGCCAAAACTGAACTTCTACTAGTCTAAGACTAGTGGGCTACTGTTAGTGTCCAGTCCTGCTCCTTCTCCTCCTCCTCCTCTTGCAAGGTTGTTAATTGCTAATCTGTTCATGCAATCTTGCAGACCAACACTGAGAGGGGCAAATGGGGGGAGGGGGAGGGGGATGAGGCTGTTGGTGTCCCAATAAATGTGTCTGGGAGTGTAGCTCATTGGTCAAGCTGTTTAAAGATTCTTACAACTATGAGGTGGGTGATGATGGCCCCCCTCTCTCTACAGTGTAACCCAATTTTCACAGCATGAAGCTTTTGGGAGTATCGTTACACCCACCAGATTAGATGCAAGTGTATTGAAGACCACTCCCCCCTCCATGTCACAGTGCCTCTCTCCATGAAGGAGTATAAATCTATTGAGGCAGTTTAACCAAAGAAAGCTGACAAAATGTTGGGGGGGGGGGAGTAACTATGAGCTGGACTTGCATCACTTCCAGGTGGCAGTACTGCAAAAACCAGAACAAGCTCTGGTAGGGTGGGTCATTATCGCCCTTAAGGTGACTTCAACACTTGTGTCACTGTCTTAAAAATTCATCTTGTAACTCTAGAAGTACTTATGATGTTTTCTGGTTCAGCAGGCCTTTGCCTTTGAGAGAAACACCCCCCTTTTACGACCGCAGGCAGGATGCCAGTCAACAGTTCTACAGAAAATCTGCAACTGGTGACATAAGAAAACACGGTCGGCCTCAGAGCTGGTACGGAGCTGAAACTCCGGAAAGAAAGTTCAAAGAGAGACCACAAAGCATCCATGAAATTTCACTGGATCGAAACAAACAGAAGAACAACTTTGTCCCTGGAAGTGACTACCACAGCTTCTCGTACGATACACGTTCATCGAAATCTGGTTATAAAAGTGCTGGCTCTAGAGACCGTAGAAGTAGACATTTTGAGTTGTCAAGATCGTTGTCGTCGAGTTTTAGCTCCCAAGTAGGGTCCTCCGCGGATGAGGGTGAAAGGGACCGTCATGGGGTGGACTCCGCGTATGACATGACAGAACGATCCCCATACGGGTCCCTCGTACTAAGGCGTTTTAGCCAATCAAGTTTAAGCTCCTCTAGCGCATCTTGGCAACAGTCCACGAACTCGTTGAGTCACCATGCCGTGAGAGGTCATGGGGGATCTGGGTCACAAGGCACCAGTTCCCCAGATAAGTTCCACAGGCACAGAGAGCATCAGCGCCAGACAGTTCACAAAGAGGTTTTCTTAAAACAATCTCCTAAGATTTCCGAACATATTTCGACCACGAACGCAACCTTTATCTCTGCGGCACCAGTGACCCAGTATTCGGGTCACGCAATTCGCGTCAACGCTCGACCTCATCGGTCACACAATTCTCACGTTTACGTTCAAGCGACTCCTTACTCTTCCGGTCATCATGTCACGACATCCGTTCCAAATCGGTTATACAATCACAACGTCACGGACTCCGCCGACAACGTTTCGCAGGTGTACCCTTCTGTCACGCAAGTTTCGTCTGCACCTGCGCAATCGCCACGAAATTCTTGGACGCTAGATGATGAGGACGACGCGGGGCAACTGAGCCCGTCGGTGAAAGATTTAGCGAAACGTTTCAGCGGCGAATTTCTTCCCGAATCATTTGAGGAACTGCGCGAAATGAATGATAGAGAACGGAGGCGCGTCAAGGCTCAAACATGGCCAAAGTTTGCGTATGTCCATTCTCCGAAGGATGGCGTTGCCCACGGTGAACAAGATCACAGCCACGAAGTTGCACCGCCAAAACCCCCGTATCCACAGAGTATAGTAGAAGACATGGACACGAATGTGGAATCAAGAATCAGCAGAAACGAAGCCGACGGTTCATTACTAGCACCTGATAAGAGTTACACTTTGACGGCGCATAGTCAGTGGAGTAACATGGACGGCTCTGTAAGCGCTGATATACTTGCCTCGCATCGCTTAAGTCTACAGGAGCTTATCAAGCTACATGAAGACGAAATAGCCAAGCATGCCAAAAGCGCCAAGGCAACAGCGCATGCCCAGATTTACCTGAAACGCCCCTTGAACGAAAAGGCGCAAAGCCCACAAACGTCACCGCGAGAGCTTTCAAGGGATGAGAACTGGGGCGGGTCATCTCCGACTTCTCACAAACAATTTTCAGTCGTTAATAGGGTTGTGGAGAGCAAGTCAGCGGTATCCCAGTATGATTCTGTCGAAAGGACGCCGATAAAGGTGTTTGAGGTCACCGATAAGGGCAGCACGCCATCTGTTAACTCAGAAATACGAGAGCGATCCCCGGTCAAAGCCAAAAGGCACCGGACAATCGGCGTTGTCGGGTTCCGACAACAGATTGATCGCATCTCCGAAGAAAAAGCCGAGAATAAACCGAAGCGTCACACAGCGATCGGGATTGTAAGCGTCAAGGCTGTGGAGACTTCAGAACGTCAGCTGGTGAAAGAGGAGACTTGTGTGGTAAGCCACACGGGGTATGGAATGAACAAAATTCAAGAGAAAGGGCTTGAAAGCTTGGACAGTGAACAGAGAAACAACGACGATGTGCTAAACCAAGATTCTCGACAAACTCATATGAGCATGAGGGTCAAAAAACGTAAAGAATTTGATAGGACGGGGAGAATTCTCTTGGAAGACGAAGACATCCACGATGAGGTTTTCGAGCGTACTGAAACATCTATACAATTCGTTCGTGCCGAAGGAGTCGTTCAAGTTCGACCGGAGTCCGAGCATAGCCGAGAGCTTAAGACAGCAAGACCTGACGAGCTCACGAAGGGCGAAGGATCGACTAGAATCGCAGTTGCTTCTCCGGAAAAACCAGGTCAACCTGTTGAGCCGATAAGCACCCAGGCTACGAGCTTACGGACCGACCGTCGCATGTGGAACGTTCCGGTTTCAGATCGTGCGCATAATTATCCCAAACCTTACACCATATCTAAGGCTGTACCAGTCGCACAGGTTTCTCCAGTTAGTCCAGCTCTTGAACTGTCTTCCAGAGCTACTCTTACTAAGGATAATTTCACGGAACCTTTACCACTTTCTAAGTCTCAATCTGCTCGAGAAATGTACGAAACGAGACTTGCCTTGTGGAATTTGTATCCTCTCGATTCAAGCCCAGCTATACATTCGTCGGAAACCTCTGGAAATACACCCCTAGATGAGAAAATTGGAGTTGCAACCGAGCGAAATAATTTAGGATCAATAAAGCCTTTGGATGCACCGGAAAACAGAATGATACACGAAAATGCAACGAAGAACGAACCAAGTGGTTTAGCGAGGCCGAACCTGGAGGAATATTACTTGAATTTTATAGAGAAGTTAAAACACGAGAACAAAGACTTGATCGCGAAACACGAGGTAGAGAAGCGAGAATTGAGACAGAAATACGAGGAACAAAGAAAAGTGGCCAATGCTTATCAAAAGCTAGAAGACAGGTATAGACGTCGCGTGCATGAGCTACAGGAAGCTCTCGCCGGCTGCACGTGCCAAAGCCCATTTGTCAATCAAAATCACGCTAAAGTACCACAAAGGTGAGTCGTTAAAGTAAACACCGCACATCTTCCTAACTTGAGCTCATACACTGCTTAATGCGTCGTAACATTGGTATCTGAAGGAATCGTTTCATTGCAAGTTTACCTTGTGCTAGTTTGCTCCCATATCGAGGAGTTTACCCCGTCTATTACGGCAAGTTTACCCCAGCCTTTATCACTTCGTCTCCAACTCTTCGAATTAAGCACGGGGGCAAATTTGCTACGGCGTTCTCCATAAACCGTAATATTGGGCGAGTCACTTAAATCTGGTCCTATCTCTTTGAAGGAAATCTCTGGAAAGTTTCCCAGATATTTGGGAACGTAGTTCCATAATGGCCGCACCTCTGGGCTATGAATCGATCGGTCCAAGTTAGAAGCACAAACAGTGTTAAGTGTTGTGCAGCAGAACACTTTATACTTCCAAAGCCTCTCTCCGCCCAAGGGTTTAAATGGGTACCAGCGAACTGTAAAGGCACCTCAATGATTTTCTGGGGGGGAGGGGAAGGGGGTGTAAACTGTGATGTGCCAGCTTCCCATCCGTGAAGATGGCAATTCTTGACGGAATGTTAGTTTATTGCATATTGCTGCCTAGTGTTTAATTGGTTTACCTAAGCAATAGACCGCTGCCCTAAGAGGAGACAGGCATCAGTGGAGTATAGAGTCTTGTCTAAAAACACAACACCATGATCCGGTCGGGGCTCGACCCAGATCTCTCGCTCGATCTGGAGCATTATTCATCTGGCCACACGCCTCCTTCTTTCTGTACAAGAAGTAAACCTTTGTTTACTTATTTATTCATTTTACTTCTCTGCCTTTCAGAAGTGACAAGGACGGTGACAGGTCTATCGTCTCAAATATCAAAGGGTTAAAAACACTCGACGACCTGGAAGACTGGTCGAGCGAAAACTCAAAAGACAACAGTGCTTCTAGAAAGAACAACAACACTGAGAGTAGAAACAGTTTAATCAGTAGCTCGTCCGACATGACGGGTACCGCGTCCGCCTGGGACGAGCTCTATGATCGGCTTAGAGCCACAGGTGAGATTGATGTGGAGAACGGTACGCATGTCTGACGTAACAGTTCAGCGCCATTTTGGATTTAGGTAGTGCGGACGAGCTTGTTAACTTTCAAACACCCTCGTTCTAAGTGGTCAGCGAAAAATGGCGTTCCCTTGGCACCTGCCTTTGTTTACCAACGGTAACATATGGGGGTCAGATGTAAATGAGCAAGAGAACTGTGCGAATTTTTAGATGAAAATAATACAAATTTTGTTACGTTTAGTTGAATCTGCAGTCAACAAGGAGTTGCACTTGTCTGAGTTCTTGCGTTAACCAAGTTGATATTTCAGCCTAATAGACGAACAGGCTTAAAATGGAAACTTTCGTTCTCAGTAACTTTCTTTTAGTGAAATACTTTCATTTGGCAATTTTGGCGGGACATGTGGCATCCGTGGAGTGTGTAAAACTCGTCCTCGGGATAAGCTTCTTTCGCCCATTTTCTGGCGAGCTTGCACTGACTTATGGGATTGAAATATTGGGGTTAGTCTCTTGGTAAAAGTACCCTGTAGAGTGCCAAAAATTAAATTTTTTCTGGAGTAATGGTGTTAAATTACATGTGTTGCCGTTTGGTAAGCCTCTTATAAATCGGTTTTGATCCGTATCACACTATTAAGGTCAAATGAATCGTTTTAATGCTGGCAGATATTTTTCACTTGTGCGTCCCTCAATTTTTCTTGACCATTATCGTCTTCGAGCGCTTTGTTAAAAAAAAATTATGAAAAATCAACGGTGCTTCGTGGCCTATAGCAGTAGAAATCACTTTGTCACTCAGAATGTGTCATTTTCGGGACCAGTCGTTATTTAACGGGGGGGGAGGTGAGGGATCATATGGTTTTCAGGGGGAACGGGGAATAGTGCGTCGTCACCAACAGAGTATCAAGGGGATCTTTAGGAAATTGACAACAAAGGGGGGGGGGTCAAAAGATTATTACAGAACCTTATGGGGGAACCCAGTAAATTTATCGTGACACAACTAAACCGACTCCCCCCTCCCCGCTCCCCCAGGGGGTAAATAATGAGGTTCTTTAGTGCTCGTTTCAAACGCTTTTAGAGGTTGCTAAAGTATTTCCAAACAGGTATATGTAAGAAGTGGCCCGAGACTCTCATTTTAATTGTACTGATTATATGTCACTCGTTGTTTTACCTCATACTTTTACTCTGTCCGTCTCTTAGACCAGCGTGTCGTTTCAATACATTGATAAACTAAAAAATGGCGCCTATTTTGAAAATTAAGAGTTTATGATAGATTTCAGAATAATTCGCCAAATGCGAGTGCTGTAAATATCAGGTTAATCCAAAGAGCGGTAAAAGGTTTTGTAAAGCTGTAAGAGTCATCGACTTTCTTGGAAAGGAAACAATTTGCAAGAGACTGGTATTCTGACCTCGTTGTCGTTCTGTTTGTTTGTTGGTTTTTTTTTTTCGTGGGAGGAGGAATCAGTTTTTAGTAGGAAAGAGGAGTGGTCCACTTTTGGCAACTCTTGGAGTCAACTCCAAGAAATTCCCCGAAGTTAAAGCCAAGTTTGGATTTCGCTTTCAGTTGAAATCTCCGAGACATTCTTTTATAATGTAACTGGAGTCGTGATGTTAAATATTCGCCGGATAGCGATGACATTTGTGACAATGAATGCTGTTAAAGAATTACTTCATCTAAACGCTCGATTGCTGAATCAATATTGAATCAATGAATTAAGTAGGGCTAAACTATCACGCATGCGAAAACTAAAGGGTATACCAATTGCCAGTCACTAAACCCGATGACTCAACTGAAAATGCCTTTACTGAGATAGGTGAATGTCGAGAGAAGAATGCTCACATCCTTTACCGTGATTGATTGATAATGTCTAATTGGAAGAATACGAGAAAACCAATGTACTTTCACACAGTAGTTTCCCTCGATGGGTTGTTCTGAACTAGACCGCGATATCTATTAAGACAAACGGCAACCATACTATATGACTGGAATACATGAGCGAGTTTTATTATTGTTTACATAATTTTTGATCGCAAACTACAACAGAAAAATCTGGTAAGCAAACGAGCTATTTTTACTTAACGTTTTTGAACAAATTCAAACACGTTATGCATGTAGTTCTGAATCTTATTATCATGATCGACCACGATGGGCTCCAGTACAGTTCTAAAATCTAGGCAGACAAAAAGGCAGTCTGTTACTTCTACAGAGTTTTCTTAACTCGCCCATATATTAGCACATCTTATTTTGGCCGAAAATAAAGCGTCAGCCCAATTTCTGGACGAGGAGCATTGCAGCCCGGGTCGTAAAGAGCATCTACGCCAAACTGATTTGCTGGACCATAGCTGGTGCTGTGCCCGGCTAGACACATTCCGTGTCCAATATTCAATGTCGTTTTACAATCGCAGTTATCATCATCCATCAGAATGGACTTGACGCCATTCTGTTCACGATACATGAAGGAGTCTTGCTTGACGACTGGAGCTTTTCCCTGTAGAACCACTGGATCCCAGCCGTCCGCGTTGTTGACGACTTTGCCAGCGGGAGTGGTCACATGATCGTGGAAAGCCAACCAAGCCGCATGTGCAACAGCATTATGAGAATCAAATTTCCAAAGGTATTCGTTTCCTTGAGAGTCAATGGCAAGCATTTCAGTAGAGTCTTCCCT